ATTGTTACTGCTGAAAATCAGAAGGGGAGAAAGGTCTGGTTCCTCCCCGGGCTTTAGTCTTGGATCAGGGAGCACAGTATGAATTGTTTTGATGAATGACTCAAGGTTAAGATTGAGGTTTGGATCACTCAGGAGGTTCAGGCTGGGTGAGGAAGGCATAATAGATTATCTTTCTGGACTCTTTAACTTATCAGTTTTGCTAGCTTCTATTGTGTGGTATCTTCTCAGTAACTCTGGAGCTAATTTAACATGGAGCAAGTGCCTCTGAGACTTGCACAGCTCTGTTTGCAGGCTGGGCTTTGAAATACACTTGTGTATAACAGACTTACAATATTGACTCCATTAACTTTAAGGGAAATGTTTACTCGGGGAGGTTGCTATCAGCTACGGAAACCACATTCTTGAAATTAAATGCTGAAAGAAACTTTGTTGTTTAGTGTACAGGTATAGGTAGTGGTTCATGCTGGTACCTGTGATTCTGAGTGTAATTATTTCATGGACATTAACACAACATTTCTGGTATGCGGCTCTCCACGGCTACTGGTGACCTATAATCAGCAGTTAGTGATAGAAAGTCTGGAAAGCGCTGCCATTAAAAGGGAAACTAAGGCATGATTGCTTCTGATCCTATGTTGTAGGGATATATTGCAGCAGCAAGAGTGTAACACTAAAAAGCAAAGTAATATTTAGAGTGATCTAACCCAAAGGCAGGCAGGAAGGTCATAGTACTGTACTTCATAGACTGTACAATGTCTTATAAAGCAGCTGTTTGTAATACTGTAAATATTAATGAAAACTGTTTAAAAGACTCAAAATCTGCACATCAGCTGTGTAGATCAAATATCATTTTGTCTCCAAACCTAATGAAGATTTTAAAATTACATGAACAAGATCACAAGCAACATGCTCCACTGTTTTCTGCAGGGGGGCTTTTCATGAAACCAGATCTGCCTCATTCATTTAAACCTGTACAATTAGGAAATATTTAGGCTCTCATAGGTTGTATTTTTAACACTTACCATTCATGTATCTACTATCAGGGTCTTCTGTCTCGATGGCTGGAAGCAAACATAAAGTTAATTTAGGGGCACTGTTTAGACAGAAGAAACAAGCACTTTAGATACTGTCGTGGGGATTATCTTGCATTTGATTTGTTAAAATATATAACTACAATATCTTTTTTTCCCCAAACATTAGAAAATACACAGAGAAAAAGGAAATAATCCAATATAAATTAAAACATAATTACTAAGTGTAGTAGTCTGGGTTGATTTCTGTCATAACTTTGTGATGACATGAGGATTGTTCTGGTTTCTACATCTCTAATCATCCCAGCTTTTGACTATGACCTAAGTGTAACTAACTGATGCAGTAGCATCTGTTTGAATTTGCAAAAAGCCTAAAGGCAACATCTGTGAAAGTTAACTACTCTACTGATCTCAAAGGGATGTTGATTCCAAACCCAATTACACCTCGCTGTCTGGCTAGCATCACTTCACCAGGGGATATGCACAAAAAGCTGCTGTAGTTGGTGCCAGGGCCTCTTGTAGCTTCCCATGCCTTCTAGAAATGCCTTCTAGTGCCACAACCACTTTCAAAGGGTGGAAGCGATCAGGAACCTCTTTCCTCATTTCAAAAGTGAAAGCATCCAGATTTAATATGTGCATTATTTGCTTGTAATTTTCAAGACAAAGCATTAACTCTTAGCATCATTCCAAAATGGTGCTGGAGCTGTGGCAGGATTTTGAAAACTTTCACAAGACTCTGTTAACTCTTTCAACTTCTCTTTCCAGTTTTTAATGGTATGTTCTTTTAAAATACTATATCCCTTCTAAAGTTTTTCAATTCCTTAGCAAGATACTCTGTGCCTTTCATAGAGGGCATACTGCTGAAAATTACTAATCTCTTTCAGTCTGCATATGCATGTGTATGAAATGTCGTATTATAAAACAAAGGAGATCTTCAACCTTCAAATATTAAAATTCATCACAATGAAATTACCGCAGCTTTAAGTACCGCAGCTTTAAGTAATTAAAAAAATAGGAGGGCTAACACTCACATTAATAAGTGATTAAAACATCCATGAATATTAGCAAGCGCAAAAGTGGAAATTACGGAACATACATAAATCAATGATTTACGCTTGACTATCCTCTCTTATGGCGGCATCTAAACTGTCTATTAGAGTATGCTCTAATACTGCTCTAAATGGATGTTTTATCCATTTCAACGCGTACAGATGTGGTTTCTTTGCACATAAACTAAAATGTGGGGATGGAAACAAAAAAGGGAACTGGGAAGTGTTCCCAGGTCCAACATTACAGTTGTAGCATTATGTCCTTCAGTGTCCCAGAAGTTCATATTAGTATTACAATATGAAATGTATGGATATCAATGAAAACAACAAACAATACAACTTTTACAGAATATTATTCTGAATCATTGTATATACATTATACACATCAGATACTATATGTCACTTATATCTCCAAAGTTACACACAGCAATTCCAACAATGGCTTTCTGTGTTATTCTTGTGTTTTGAAGTGCGAGTCATTCTTGTATCTGGATTATATTATTATTTTGGGTTAAAGAAGAAATTAGGTAGGGGTTCTTGTTTAAGAAAACTATGCTAAATTCAGTGCTTGTCCAATTTAGACTTTTCCAAAATGCTAGGGGCAGAGAGGGATTATTTAGAAATTTACCAGGCCAAGGCTAAAGTTTTGCCAAGTAAATAGCTTTATAACAAAGGCTAAAAGTATTCATGAGAATATGCTTTAGATTTACGATAGTTATATGATGTGTTTCTGTCCTTTAAAAAAAACAAAAAGTAGAAACAAATTAATTCATTCTTTTTAGTCCCGTGGTGCTTGTATTACAAATAAGGAGGGGTGCTGGAGGTGGAAAACTTTATATTTGCCCTTTCTTTTAAAATCAAATTTCTTTTTCGTAATGAAGGTTCTACAACTTGTATAATTTTGAAAAATAGAGATGAAGAGTTGAAGATGGTTTGGTCCCTGAGAGAACATCTTGAAAATGACTAAAACTATACAATTGTTCTTAAGGCCACCTTTCCCCAGGTAGGGGAGCTAACAGACACGTTTATTTCTGAGCTGTAGGGACAAGCCACCCCCAGTAAAGCAGAATCCAGAAACTGGCTCATCTTCATCATTCCAGTTCAAGCCAGGTTTTAAATAAAGGAGGGCTCCTGTTATATATGAATGAAATGAATGTAGACCTGTCCACCTTTCTTTTGTTTATAGACCTGCTTATGAAGTATATCTTGCATATCAGAAAGTATTTAATCAGTATAGAAACCATATAATAAAGGCACATTATCATGATATCTAATCCTTTCATAACAAAGTGGGACATTTAGTTGGTCTGTTGTTTGCAAGAAGTGGCTGACTCCCCATTTCCTTGAGTTTCTGTCCAGCTTGAGGTGTCAGTAGTGCTGGAGCAGAGAGATGATGAGCAGCTCCTTTTTGCTGATGAAAGTTGTTAATATAGCTGGCAATCAGTAGAGTGATCTCAAGAATCTGTAACAGGAACATACAAATCTCTTTGAAAAATACAGTGATGTGTTTTGACTGCTGGAAAAATAGCTTAACTTTTTAGCAAGTGACAATCACCGTCAGCTGGAGAACTACTTGCACTTTAATATTAAATTAATGACGCGGAGAAAGGAAATGCCTAGTAGAGCTTTCTTTTATCTCAGCTTGCCAATAATTAAATTGTTATTCCCAATAGCATGCTGGATGCTTTGTCTTACACAATTTTAAATGATTCAAACAGGTGGCTTCTGCCACTTCTTCAAGAGATATTTTGAAGTTCGAAAGGTGTCTACTCTTCAGAAAAAATATTTGTGATGTGTTCCCTCACTTTCCCTAGTTATCTAGCGCTCAAGGACTAAAGATGCAGAGTAGACAGAAGGCATGAAGAGCTGGGAGCTTGGTACCACACCTTCTCTTTGCAATCCACAAAACCTTGCCTATGAAGGCATAGTCTGAGGTAAACCAGAGTAACGATTTGACCCACATTTATATGTGGAATTTTATATTTAGTGTCATAGATTGTTCTGGCTTAAAGCAAGAGACTAGAACTCTGTGCTTACTTTTTGATATAGTCAATCTTATCAGTGAAAGAGAGAATCTAGATTTAAAAAGCAATAACAGTTTCTTTACCAAAGAAAAAAAATCTTAGAATTTTTAAGAAGTGACAGATCTTTCAGAAGTCCATTGTACAACACAAAGTGGCTTTTGAAAAATTGTCTAGGGCCTTGATTAGACAAACAGACTAATTTTTAGATAATGTCTGTACTTCCTGTCCTTTATCCTTATATGAAAAACGTGGAATGCTGTAGAAAGGGACATTGAAAGAAAAGAAACAACAGTACTCTCACTGATAGCTCTTATTTTGTATTACTAATTGTTTTGCTCTCCAAAACCATCTGGCAAAAGTCAATATCCTGAGTATGCTAGGAATAAAGAAAGTGTTTCATCTTTTACATCTGTTAAGAATTACCTCCTACAAAAGCAGAAAAGCAGCAGATGGTGGGAAAGTGTTTCAGGTAATACACCAACCTTTGGTTTTGTCATGGCAAAAAGGAGTTTTTCAGTTGATTTTTCCTTTGTCTGAGCATTGTTAACAACCAACATAAAATCATCTTGATAGCCTCCAAAAGTCATCAGACTCTTATATGTATATGTAACTGTTAATCGCTTAAAAAAGGAAACCCAAAAAACAAAACAGAAAGCTATAAGCAGGTAAATACAGGAAAAAGAGATTATGACAAATACTTCTTTTAAAAATATAATTACATATCTATTTTTCAAAATGTTGGTGTTAGCCTCTTATCTTGAAATTAATTGTAAACTTTGGCATAGGTTCATTCAGACCTTCACTATGAGCAATTTCTGTTGCAGATGGTCAGATCATCACATGAAAGTTCGACCTCTGTTTCTATTCCAGGTAATTTAGATAAAAAATAGTTTGAACAGGTTTCAGCTCAGCTCACTGTATAATTCAAGTTATACAAGTTTGACTGCCTTGAGAGAAGTTAATCATAGGATTCCATTTGGAATTGAAGCAGAGTCGAACTAAGTTAAATGGCAGCGAGTATGATGTCTAAAGGAATTTAACCCAGGATTTCTTTTTGTGCAGTGATGTAATTTACATATACACAAATGAATGTTGTCCAGAAATGCCGTAACTAGCTCTGCAAGTAGATGGTGTTTATAGAGCCTTCTGTATGGCTGATGCCAGCTCATTTTACTTGTTCTCTATACAGAGCTGCTGTATGGCTCTCCTCTCTTTGTTTTGTTTTATTAATCCTTTTGAAATAAAAAAAAAACATAATGAAAAGGCCCATATCAATACAATTATAAAGCTGAGATTTTAACTTTCTGAAATTCAATATTAGCCCTTGATAATAGCAACATGCCATTCTATTTCTTTGCAGGATATGAATTAAAGCAAGGATTGTCTCAGGCATTGCCTTTTTATGCTGATTACCATTAATTGTTTTCTGTAAAAACTTTTATTGCAAATCAAAGAAAAATCAGTGCTTAAGATGACATAATTAAATAACATTAGGTTATGTTACCTGCTATTAAACAAAAATAATACAATGAAAATAACAATCTTTTTATGTAACTGCACTTTGCAGAGTGTATGTATTATGAATAATAATGGAAAATTAAAGTCTCCAAGAGAAGAAAATTAATGTTATTGTAAGAACTGTAACTATGGATCTCCTGACGTCTGAATGATTAAAACATTAACATTTCATTAAAAGATATAAAAACTATCTGAAAAACAAAAATAAATTCCGAGCAAAAAAATCATTATATTCTATTATCAGTGCTAGTATAACCATGATAACAACCTTAAAGCGCTTTGAAAGGAATGAGTTTTTGCTTCAAGAGAAAGACTAGACAACTTAGCATTATGACTAATGCCATCTTTGGTATGCTATGATGGTGAATCTCCCTGATTGCTCAGTATTGAAATCTACGTTGACCAAAATTCAAAAAAAATTTCCCTTACCATAGAATTGTAATCTAGGATGCTTATGCCGTCTTCATGTACAGCAAACCATATGAAGGACTTCTCAAGTGACGATGTTGCTACAGGCTATAAAGGGAAATGTTCTTTAGTTACAACTTTAAAGTGAGGCAATATTTAACTGATTAATAACAGTCGTCTATTTCAGAGCCCTCTTCATCCACAGGTCACGGAGATTTACATGGGGAGAGGACTGATGTAAAGGAACTGAAGTGGCTGTCCAAAGCCAAGTAGAAGGCCAATGGCGGAACTATGAACTGAACTTAATATTCTTAAAGCCTCCCTCTATGCTTAGTCCAATAAACTGCATAGTTTTACTAAAAAAAAAAAAATCAGGCATTTTAAAGTTCACTGGCACATATGTTTATGCATGAAAAGAAGAGTGCTGACAAACATTTAATATACATATTTTAGGATTACCCAGTAGGAGATAAGGGAGGAAATGGCAGTTCTGTTTAACACAGTTGTTATTTGACTCAAGAGATTTAAGATACTTGTGGCTTAACAGCAACTGAGAGGCCAGCACAGGAGGGAGTACTCTAAATACCCTTAATAATATTTAGTAGTTCTGCAAGGTTCAGCTCCAGTAGTCAGTTAATGACACCTTTCCAATATTCTAATAGTTACCAGACAAAAAAGGTCTGAAACAAGAAGACTGGCTCAAACTAAGATAAAAGAAAATGAAAAGATACTGCTGAGATTAATAATGTGAGACAAGCAATAAGTGTATTAGAAAGTTATTATTACAGCATACCTATTACTATGACTATTACATTTCACCAGTGTATGGCTGAAACAAATTAGTAATTTGACAAGAGCAATCAGCACATGTGCATCACACTCATTTTCAAAAAAGATACTACTCTTTTCAAATTATATTTACATTAAAACCCCACCACTCAAACTCAGTAAAGTTTCTTACTTTTGCTGCAAACAATCTAGCACCAAAGAAAGACCATTTTCTGGCTACAGTGAGATAAATGCGCACACAGTCTGCAGCACTGTGCCCCCTGAGAGCCATCCATCTTGTAGACAATCGCTGACAAAGCTGTCTATTGAAATGAAATATGTAATTTAGTTATTGAAAGGAATTTAAATGCTTACCCACAGCAAGTTTAATGAGCAAAAAAAATAATCCATTTGTTAAATTGATAAATAATTTAAGTTAATGCAACAACTATCACTTATACAGTATTAAATAAATCCAAAACAACATTTAATATTTTATGCACATGAAAATGACAAAGTATCTACTCATTTCTGCAACATTATGATTAAATATTGATGTAGCGGTAGTAGCAGCATAAAGGGAAAAGTCTAGTACAACCCTTAATGTGTCTCTACAGATTCAATCTACCTTTATCAGTACTCAACAGCAACACCAGTTGTCATGCTAAAAGTCTATCTAGCTTAGCACTTATCTTTACCTGTGGCTAGCAGTATATGTGGAAGATACAGCTTAATGTTATTTCTTTTTCACTGCCTCTGGGGGCTGCAACCAAAATGGGTGGTCCTGATACATGATGCATTTACATTGGCTCTTGTCTTTTGTGGCCCTACAGTGAGGTGCTTAAGTAAAATGATTCTATGGAAAAATAATTCTCCAAAAAAACTAGAATACCTTTCTAGCACATTGACTTGCAGGAAGGACTCACCCTGCAAGCCACAAGATCATTAGACGCAGCCCCCGCAAAGGGAGGGGCAATGTGCAGCAAAGGAGAACTCTTTCATCTGCAGCTCACTCTTACAGGAATTTTATGATGTCAAACTGCACCCTTAGCAAGAGTACAAGAAATAGGGTAGGGACAGAGTGATACTTCCTCTCCTGTAGACTTCCAGCTTCTGGCAACTGGTAGTTTGAGGACTACATAAATAGTTTAACTGATGTTTGACTTATCCTCCATGAATTAGTCTAATCTGGTGCCACTTAGACTTTGTTCTTTGAAAATAATTGTATAGCTTTCTGCTTGTTGTTTGTATACTTTTGCAAGTCCCTGTTATCTTTTGAGGATGTAAAAATGTTACTTTGTGCATATGACAATAGTTTTAAACTTTCTCAACCCTTTAGTAAAGAACAAGGAAAACACTTGTGTAATGTTCTTTGGACTTCAATAATGCTAAAACATTGCGGCTGGATAGCTTGTTATGCTCTTCTGCTATTCTCTCCGTTAATAGGTGTTGAGTGAAATGTCCTCCAGATTATTCATTTTAAATTAAGTGAAACATTACTAGCAAGTCCACTAAGTTACTGTACTGCTGGTCTGACCAGCTCCAAGGGATTGTGCATTTGAGTGGCAAACGCTCAAACCAGATCCCCATGGCCTTTATTTTCGGTAGTTCTTTAGCCTGTTCACAGTCTTAATTTAGCTTTTCTGAGTAAGAAAAATAAGAATTGTAAAATCTCTGGGTTTTGTAACCCTGTGTAGTAACTTACCTATTTTAAAAGTTAAGAGGGTTTTGCTGGAACGTATACTTAGAAATGGCACTCTATTTAGATGAGAAATATACAGATGAAATGAGTCCTTAAATTCAGTAAGAAGAGTATCAGTTTCAAACACAGTGCTCGGCAAATATGGCATGACATTATGCTGTATCTAATGACCATTTAAAAATTCCTCATTTTACCCCAAAATTTTTAGAGAATCTAAGTAGCAAAATACAAACATACATCTCACCTTAATTGTTCCTCTGAACAAGCATGCCTGTATCTCTTAGGATAGAATCTCTCCAAAACTTGTTTTAATGTTTGATTGGACTTGGATTGGGAAGTGACCTGCCCTGCTGGAGTTGAGAACGGCCTTTCAAAATCTCCAATCTCTATCTAAGGGAAAGACCATTAAAAAGAAGGTATTTGTTACTGTAGAGATAGATATCTTTTCCTATATCTTACTAAGTAGAAAATGAAAAGCACTTTGTCAATTAACATATATTTTCACTGATACCAAAGTCAGGTAAATCATTTTATTTTGACTTACTGAAATTTACCATGCAAAAAGATAAATATCAAGTATAAATTATACAAATATAGGGTGTGAAACTTTCCAGTTCTACTCCAAGATTGCTAGATCCTCTGCTGATATAAACCAGTTTAAATTTTTTGACTAACACCGTCAAATAACTTTCTCAATAACTTTCCCTTGAGTCTTTAATTTTTTTGAATAAAACAGATCTTATCCAGACAATGTCTACTAAAGGAGTTTTAGGCATTGATTGAACAGCTGTTACTATGGTGTACTAACTTGCAGAAATTATTTATAGAATACTGAATGAAGAGGTGACACATGATTATACGACAGCTGATCGAAGAGGGCCTGACTATGAAGGATGTAACAAATGTTTTATCCATACTGATGCCAATAACAGTGTATGCTATAGAGGATTTCCCCTGAAGTATAGAAATTAGCCCTGCATAGCCTCCAACCCAATCTATTTCTTACATTGTCAGGTTTTAAAGCAGAGGTCACTGACTATCAAGCAATCCTGGACCAGTTCCTTAATTTGTTTACGTTTTTGAGCTGTAAAACTGCTGTGTGAGTCATTAATGCACAGAGATTACCTGCGCTAAAAGAGCTGTCATTTCCATTGCCAGTTCTTTGTTCACAGGGAAAAGTCCATTAACTATTTGATCATTTGTCTGATATACTAACAGCAGCTTCTCTCTTTCTGTCTCCCCATGGACTTGAACTGCAAAGTAGAGCCTACAGAAGACAGAAAGTTATTATATAGAGGAGATAGGGGAAATGCATTAGCCATGACGATTAATAGTGTCTGCTTTGAATACGACATGTTTATACCAGCGTCAAAACATTATCAGAGCAACACCTGTACTTAAACAAGCAGCTAAATACTTAATTTCACTCAGAGTTCAGTGTAGCCTCTCTTTTTTAGCAACCCTGCTCACTTCTTATAAGGTAGAAAAAATTAACTATCATTTAAAAAAAACGCTGCAGTTACAGCCATTTACTATTTATGTTGCAAGATCTGAGTCAGCCAGTATTTTTCAGATGACGAAACTCTCCAGAAATGGAAAAAAAAAAATCTCTGGGACAAGGCAGAGAAGTTATACTTGCTATTACAAACCTATTTTTGTAAGTAAGGCGGACAGTCCTTGTGCCTTCACATTTCCCAGGATGTTGTTCTTTGGAGGCTTGCTCCCATTTTGAAATAATGTCACAGATCTAGAAGGAAAGCAATACAAAGCAGACTCTTCCATGTATTCATCTTCCAAAAAAGCACCTTTGAATGAAATTGTCTACTTATTTAAATATTCTTTCCTTATGACATATCAGGAACTTACATAGCTTGAACTTTTAAACTTACTGACAGATAAATTTTGCTAGCACTTCTTACTGATGTGTTTAATAACTATTTTTTCTGTTGTTTGTTTATCCTACTACACACATATTTACTTTGGAAATGAGCCGTAACATGCTTATACGGAAAGACCAGGTACTTAATGTAGCAGCAGCCAATAAATACGTAATTATACAGAGTGAGTCGTTATATAATTAATCAAATGCTTTGATCTCAGCCTTCTCTTGGAGTTTTTGAGGTCCTCTGCAGTAACACTTTGTTATAGTGTTTGCACAAAGTTTTTATAATGCAGGAAGAGTGCTTTCTGATGTGCAGTGTACGTGCACGGGTTGGCAGATTGGGAGGACGCAGCATGGTGGCTCTGTGAGCCCTTCTGGGCTTAACGTGACCATTCCTTCCTAAAAGAGCCTTTCTGGAAGCAGCAATGTGAACAGCTTCCAAAGGAAGTTCCATCCCTTGCATTTGCCAAGAAAACAAGTATATGTATATATATATATATATATATAGTAATTATTTCCATATCGTAATTATTTCCATATCGTAATTATTTCTGGTGGGGGAAAAGAATTGATTGTGATGACCCAGGTTGTTTGTCACTAAGGCCTGGATGTACCTTCCCTTGTGACTTAAAGTGCAACTGTGAACATCGGCCAAAGGCTGCAAAAGGCTCCTTGATAGTCACAGAGTTTGTTATTCATTAGTTGCTAAAAGGCTTGGAAAATATCTAATATTTTACTTAAACAGATTATATTGCATTTTGCCAATCTCTACTGCAAGTAATTTAATTCTAGTAGTAGAGGGAACTAAAACTTCAGAATCCAGAATAATAAACCAACCATTGGAAATTTCCTGAACTGAACCTTAATTATTCTGTATTTAGATAAAGAACCCTTTCTTTTTTCCTCCCCAGGATCCGCAATCCAATATCACTGACTTTCTGGACCTCAAATGGTAATCTTTTGGGGCTATACCAGAAATGCTAACTGACATCCCTAAATGCACATTGGACTGCAATTGCTTTTTGGTTTTAAAGGACAGCAATTAGTAGCAGGTTACTTTTTCTTTAATTCCCGCTGTTACTTCCATGACTAACATCAGTCTCCCAGGCAAAGCTTTCAAATATATTTAACTGGATGAATTTCAGCAATTGAAAAAATAGTTTTCTTGATCTTTCCTTTTATGTTATGAGAAAAAAAAATTAAAAGACAGTTTTCAGCCTGGTAAATGTTTTCCTTTACATTGTCAGAAGGGAGGTCTGTAAAATGAAGATATTTTGTTGTTTTATATGCAGAGCTCATTAAAGGCTCTTGTTTACCTTGATGTTCCCTTGAAGACAGTGCTCTATATCCTTGCCAGAGGGATCATCTGAAAATAGTGCAAATCCTGACTGAGCTGGTTTCCTCATTCCTGTATCCTGGTTCAGGGTGTTCAGAAATTCCTCCACTGTGGTTGAGGCATCAAAGCCAACAACCTAAAAAAACATGCAAAACATATTTTGCTGTCAAACTTAAACAAAAATTAAGATTTTGAAGAATGATAATATACCTCTAGAGTGATAATGGGAATAGAAGACCCGTTCCATCCCCTGTGAATAGCTTACTATCATTGGAACTTTAACATTTCCATTAAGGGTTTGGAAAAGAGTCAAGATTTCTACATTTGAAGTTAATGTAGTGGACTTTCTCTCCATCAAAAAATTTACAAACGGCTCAGCAGATTGCACCTATTGCATTTTGTTTATGAAATGAAAGGTCACTATCAAAACGCTTCAAAGTATAATATTTTTCTTCTTTTCTTTTCTTTCTATTTTTTGATTTCTTCGTTTATGCTAGTTGATTTTTTGCATTTGCTGTACTTGAATTTATTCAACAAAAAGCAGTCTAGTATCTGAGATTTTGTGGCAAGCCACTTAAAAAGGAGGAAAATTACCATTTCCTACAATTTTCAATAGGATGATGAAACAAATGAGATTTTTAATCATTTTTAATGATGTGCAACTTCAGAAGGATATTAGATTATCTTCATATTGACAGATCTGAAATATTTTGTGCTGTTGGGTCAGTGCTATATAAGTCAGTAACATATATAGCCTTCTAAGAGCTGTTTCCCCAAATCTATTTTTTGTCTGCTGTTACTAGTATTAGCATTTTAGAATGTTGTTCACTTAAATCTATGTTCTGAGGGCTTTTTCAGGTATTTGGCATATTGAAAAAGGCCTTTTACTCTTATTGGGCAAGAAATGTCTTGAAAGATGGATCTTGGAAATACTTCTATTCTGGACTTTTTAATGGTGGAAATTTAAACAGTACTGCTGAATCTAGCTTTAGAGATGAATACAGGTGTTTTAAATACCACTGTAAATGGTTATTTACTGATCCCACTGGAGTAATTTATTTTTTAATTATATGTTTTCATAGTGCTTGGAAGCATGCATTTTGGATTAATAAATAAAAAACTAATGAGCAGTTGTTTCTTTTCTATCTTGAACTTCAGTTTTGAAACTTTCTAAGATGAAGATTTAAATACATCTCGAGTTTTCTGTTCTACTGGGCATATAGTGATTAAAAAGGCTGAGAAAAAAGTAGAGTTTTCTTCTGTGATAAAAAGATTATTCAATACAGTTTTGATTTCATTTTAAAAGTCACTTACTATCTAGGAATACTGTGCAGTGTTAAAGATCTGTTTTCGGCCAGCTCCCACTGTTAGAAATACAAACTGGGAATTGAACCAGTATGCATGGAAGTCCACAGAACGTTTCCTACAGGCTTTGACAGATGAAGCCCAAAAAGCGTTAAGAATGAAGCCATGTTTGTTCTTTAACAAATATAGTTATCCTTCAGTGAATGTTAACAGGAGTCACAGATACGCCTTCAGGCCTTCAGCGACATATTTGATTTCAAGATTTCTGTTGAAAGGAAGTGAAATTTAGTACCTTCCCCTTTTCTTCAGTCTAATTCATACATTCTGATGGTCAGGTTACATACGAAACCGAACTTTAATATTCTCATTCTTAAGAGCTTTTATTTTATTTTTTTTCTTTTAAAGGTATTTTTTTTCCAAATCTCTACTCTTCATTGGTCAAATACGACTCAAGTACTTTGTGCCTTCCTTGCTAACGCTGGCACAGGTTGAAACTTGAGCCATATTTATCTTAACACTTATAATTCTGTTTCTGATATACTGCTCCAGGAATATACTAATAGCATGAGGTTGGCACAGCTTAGATTTTGTGGTATACTTGGCATTACCTGATATATGCCATTCATGAAATGAACTGGAATGCTAAAGGGCAAGGAATGGTGGTAGGGATTTCTTAGAAGGGTTGAAAGGATTTCCATTCTGGAAGGTCTGGCTTCTCGGTCTCCGTTCTGCTGGGTACGCTCTACGCAGCGCTGACAATATATTGCATATTTCCCAAATTCAGTCCTGTGACAGAAAAGGAGATATAAGGCATTTCTTGTGGACTGATTGAAAGGACAGCAAACTGTGAGTAAATCCCTCAGGAGAAGCCAAATGAGAGGAGTACTAAGATTTCACTGCAAGATTTCCAACACGTTTCCAAGTGGATTTACAAGGAGAGTAAGTCCACAAGTCCACTGAGACCAACGGAGTTGCGCTAAAGATGAATGTGGCTGAGAATGTAACTAACTGCTCTATTTTGGGTTTCATGCTTTTGCAACATATAGCCAGAATTCCATAGCCGAATAGTTTCCAAAACAAAGAATAATTTTTCCAAATGATGCACAGAAGTCACGTGTACTATATTTTAGTAGCACTGGAGCACAAGTCTATTAAAATATATTTTGTATTTTAACATGTATGTCAAAAGTTCTTAAACATTAAGTAAAGACTGAAAATAAAGTATTTAGGAAAGATTAGCCACCTAGCTGGTTAATATTCAGGCACACCTGGAATCTGCAATCTTCTTTAAATGAAGTTTAAGAAGCCAAAGGAATGGGTGCTGGGGGAGAAAGAGTCCAACGCAGAGAGCCAAGAGCTGCAAGCCCTGGACAAAAGGAAGACATTCACTGTTTTAAACATCTTATAAAGTAAGACTTCCTGTGGTTGCTGGCCAGCAGTGCAGCTTACTGTGCCAAATCAAATCATAGACAATTGTAAATTGGAAGAAAAAAATATAACAGAGAAAAAGCTGAGTAAATGAGGATGTCTCCTCATCAGAAGGCCAAAAATGCTCTCTTTCTGTTTACTTGTGTAAATACAAGTATGTTTTACAGCATGTTTATTTGGGGGCTAGAAATGGGAGAGTAGGTCAGTCTGCATAAAAAGCAGTTAATATGCAGGAAAAAAGTATTAAGGCTGTAAGGTCAGGCACTAAGAAATGGGGAGAAGCCTGTGCAATTTTAATTCAGCTCTGCTTTTCACATGCATTATGATATAATCCATAAGACGTCTTCCTCATTCCAAATGGATAGTAACTATTGAACAAACAATTATTCAATATTTTTGGTATAATCTCATAGTTCGGAATGTATTTACAAGCCTCAGTTAATGCATGCTACTCTCATGTACTCTGGGTGCAGACTCAATAATTTTGTAACTGCTTTTCTCACCATTGTAGCAATGTAGCAATTCACTTCAGAATTCAGAAAACAGTGTTATTCTACCCGATGGAAAGTTTAGTTTATCTATCTGACTTGCCTCATGTCCAACAGAGATTTGACAGCACAGGCACAGATAAACCCTATCATTAATTAGATACTAGTAGTTTGTTGGAGGATGGCATCAGCTTTGTTTCAGGAAGACACTGTAGTAGAAGCAAGTATGGGAGACTACAGCATAATTTAGTTCATAATTCAGGACTTAAAAAAAATGTGTGAGGCTGCAAATATTTTACTGAACACATTAACCCTTAAAGTCATGATAGTGGCCACTACTGCTGGCAATGACTTATTTCTCTGTACGGAGGGAAGGCCTTACCAGTGGTACAAAAATAACGAAGGACTACAGTTACTTTAAAACTGACCAGCTGTATGTAACTTGAGTGTGTACTAACTGACATCAACATGCTGTATCTGTTATGAAAGCTTTCTGGGTGTGATGCACACACTGGCCACACCTGTGATATGGGCAATTTCTAGATAATACATATGCCTACTGGCCTTACCCTACTTTCTCTGGCAAGTCTGAGGTGAAAAATGTGTCTATTACAAAAGCTTTAGTATGGTAATTTCCTTTCTCATTTGCTGATTCATCTCCTAGTTCTGTATGTAATGCTACATCACATGCGCTATTGTTGCAATCTTGTTAATGCTACACAGACTGTAGAGTACTGTCTTTCCTTTCAGTTTTAATTCATTTAGTTGTAATACAGTTGGATACCAATGAATAGCTGGCAGTGGACCAAGGTGAAGAACTGTAAGTGTATATGCATTATCTGGCATGCAGGATATATGCAGAACAGCATGAGAAAATAAAAGATGACATCGATCAAAAAAACTAGGCATATCTAAGATGCCACAGAATGGCTCACTTCAGCTTTTTTTCGCCCATGTCTGTAGAGCCATGTGTCATATGGTTTAGCCTGCCATGCTTCCTGATGCAGCACCTATCTTAATATAAGATGCAGTAAAAGAAAGCAGAATAAGGTCCCATACACTATGTCTTACTTAATGCTTTATTTGAAGATAGACAATTGCATGTCCAGCCTTTAAAAATGATAAGATGTTCTTATAGTTCTTTTTCTGATTTTAAGTAAGTGGATACCTCAGAGGGGCAGATCCCTCTGCCACTCTTAACGGTTTCTGCAGTTCCTTCACTGCTGTTGCAATAGGTACCATTAAGACAAATATTGGGTTACCTGTATTGGTCCTGCCTGGTTTTGTGGATGTCGACGTCTAGTCTGCTTAATAAGCTGGCAACAGATCTCATTCTGAAGTTCAGGGTGTGTGAGGCAGATTTGCAAAGCACTTTGGGCCAAAGATACATGGTAATCAATGGCAGGAGAGTCAACTGCGGCATTTATAAACAACTGGCAGGTCTAGACATAAAATAATAAGTAAGTGAGTTTATATAGGAAGCTGCAACAAATCTTTTAGAGGTTTTGCATACTAAAAATATGCTATAACTGAATGTTGCACGAGCCATCTTTTTCTTATTTATTTTAGCCAAATGTCTGTGATCTGAATGAAGTCTGAAATATACTTCAGAATGCGATTTCCAGATAGACATCAGTTTATTATTATGAGGGAAGTATAAATTTAAATTTTCATGCTGTAGGACTGCAAAAAATAAAATGGAAGTACTTTAAAGTGCTTCAAACATTTCAGACAAACAAGCTGGAAAGTTTGTCTGCAAGTGACCGTGACTGAACATATGGTGCTTGTCCTGAATTCCTTTCTAGATACTGATCATTACATCAAAATTCTCAAGATAGTTCATGCTGCAGGGAATTTTTGCAGTCTCTGTGGAGACAGTTCATTTATCTAAGCACTCAAAATGTATTGCACTTGTAATGTATTGCAATGTACAACTTGTAATGTATTGCACAGATTGTAATGTACAGAAAATTACAACAGTAATTTTTTTCTCTGAAATAGACTTAATTGCATTTGGTTAATGTTCAGGAGTGGTTTTACTTGGGTGACCATAGGAGAGGAGAAGGAAGGTTAATGGAGTTGCAGCACCCTCCTTCTCATAGTTATCAACTATCTAGCCTTTATCTGCACACAAAAATGCCCAAGAAATTAGCTGAAGCACAGCAGTTATGAATTACTATACTTCTCATAATCATAAAGCCCTTTCACTACAGCTGTGAGATATACATATGTGCATTTTTAAAGGTATATGAAAGTCTTTAAAAGAGAATTCATAAAACTGTTGTAAAATACTTTCAAGAATCTTAGTCTGTAATATTTTCTCTATTTATATTACTAGAACACATAATTATTATTTTTCATTTTGTTCCAGTCTTTCAAGACTGAATCGCTACTCATATGAAGAATGTTTTCTTTTCATAAAAAAGAACAGTAGAATCTCTGCCTTCTATCTCAATTTGAATCAATCTATGACTTGCTTAAATTAGAAAAATTGGCTTTGTCTGGTTTTTTCTTCAGATTTTTAAAATGTCTTCTGTACTACAGCTGATTAAAAAAGTCTACAACAAAACTGTCACCTACCTTTGTTCTTACTGAAATCTAATTGAAAAAATAGTACTTCAGATTCAGTATTAGTATTTCTGAACACAGAGATCTGTCAGCGCTCTGACAGATTCTCTGGGGCTTATGAACTTCTCGATAACATTGTCACCCTCCATGATGGTGGTGGATTTTTGGACTAACTCGCACTTTATCAATAACCTTAGCAGAATGGCCAAAGCATGAAGCCTAATCTGCTCCCTTACTGCTGAAGGTGATCGATCTTACAGTGGAAGTCATGGACTTTGGGGAGATACTGTGGGGATGCTCTGCTACTGTCTGTCCACTAGTTAGTTTAATCTCTCCACTAAAGATCAAGGAGTAAACTTCTCTTTTCAGATCTGTTGAACATCTCTAGTAAGCCAAAAATATGCACAAAATAAGAAAGGCATTTACCATGGTATTACCTTAAATAATTTAATTGCTTCAGTTTGCAAGGCCTCTGACGGTAATGTTGTAAGAGGGGAAGCAATTCCTTCTTTGCTGTGGCAAAGGGTAGGATGTCTCCAAATCTGAGAAGCTGAATGGATAAAATACATATTTCTTGCAATTAATAATCCAGTATAGTAAATTTAAACTTTGGCTCATCATTCAGAGATACACAAAATTAACGTTAGACAAGCTTTAGCAACAAGCTTCACAGCACAAGGATCATTGACCCACTGTTAAAGCATTGATAATTCTGGAGTGAATTGTAGAAATACCTTAAAAGTATACCTTTAACACCAGAACATTACCTTTCTCATTTGACATTCCAGGGCCAATTTTGGTAATCAGAAACAACTGAAACTTAAATTTTATTATTATTATTTCTCAAATGCTCTAGTATCTTTAAAGACTGCAAGCATCCGACTTACCATCTAAAAGGCATTGCCTTCAACCTTCAACATGACAGCACCTTAACACCCCATTAAATAGTAACTTGGGAAGAAGATATGGCCTCAAATAGTGGAATGTCTTCTAAAACCTCATTAGACAGATTCAGAAGGAAACCAAATACCCATTTAACCATTTCTTCTAGCAAGTACCTATTCTTTTCACAGTTGCAATTTTTCTTTAAACATTTGGTCCAATATTTTTCCACAGATTTAACTATTTAATTTTCTTCCAGATTCCACACTTAAAACTTTTGAATTCTTACATATATTAAAAAAGTACAGTTTGCTAAATCAATCAGCTTCTGAGAATATGGATTCTTCTCTAAGGTGTCGGTCCCATCCACAGACTGAACTGTTCCCTAATTTTATGACACTGCTGCTTGAAACGGTACAGAGGCAGGACACTTTAACAGAAATACAAAGTTGCTTGAGTCTGTGAGAAAAATAATAATACATTTCAAGTGCATAAATTTGACTTCAGTTTGCTTGGCTCATCATGATTCCTAACCTAAGAATAAAATACTTTTCTCTTATACTTAAAAAAA